TCAGGTCATCCATGACCTACAGATCTGTATTTTCAGGTATGGGATCACATGATACATAAAAAAAAGAGGTTCGAACCTCACAACTTCTCAAACGGCACTCAGCAATCTGGATTCATTTGTTTTTTCTTGGTACACAACCAAGATAAAAGAGAAAAAGGTATTAAAATGAATATGTACCAGTCGTAGGTTTGCCCTTTTGATCACTGTTGAAGACAGCAAGTTGAGGAAGAGGGAACTTGTTCGATCTGCTCTCAGGACTAGCAGAACCGCTTTGATACCATATTAACGACAGAATAGAGGAGAAGAAAGGAAGAAGAGAAGGGAGAAGAGAATGTTTTTGGAGTCAACTTAAGTGGCTGGCGGTGCCAGCTTATATTAATATATATAAGGCAATCGTAATTAAAAGGGAAAGGACCCTTATGCCCCTACTTAAGTTACAATACATAAACAAAGAAAAAAAATATACTTTAACTAGTCCAAACGGACCCTAACTCAGCAGAATACAAACATAAGAAATAAAGTGAACATTCCAAGAAGTTACTAGTACTCCTACTTCATTTGCTTCTACATCAAGTAATGTAGCCTCTGCCTTCCATGTCACCACTACCACTGATTCCCCTTGGATCATTGACTCGGGGGCCTCTAACCACATGATCAGTAAGCTAAATCTTTATCAATCTTTTTCAGATGGATCATTCTCCTCCATTGCAGGCCAGGGATCAATATCCCTTCCTCATGGCCTAAACCTGAATAATGTGTCCCATGTTCCTCAACTTCTTTTCAATTTGCTTTCCATTAGTAGTATCACAAGATCTTTAAACTATAGTGTAACCTTTTTCCCTGGTTCATGTGTTTTTCAAGATCTAACTTCTGAGAAAACAATAGGTAGAGGAAGGTTAGTGGATGGTCTTTACATTCTTGACAACAAGATTGGTCTCTCGGTGTCATCCTCAGAGTCATATAGTTAGTCAAATAAGAGTCAAATTTTTTTGTGGCATAGTCGGTTGGGTCATGTTTCATTTGAAATAGTGTCAAACTTGTCAGTTGAGTAAACAATGTAGAACAACATTTCATTCAATTAATAAAAGATCAACTTTTCCTTTCCATATTATGCACTTTGATGTATGGGGGCCTACTACTATAACCTCTGAGGGCAGGTATAAGTAATTTATCACATTTATTGATGATTTCTCCCGCTATACATGGGTATTTCCCATGTGTAGCAGAGACAAAGTTCCAAAGATTGTGAAGACTTTCAGATGATGGTGTTTACACAGTTTCATGTTGAAATCCAGATCTTTCAATCCGATAATGCAAAGGAATATTTCCATGGTGAGCTCAATGAGTTCTTTGCCTCTTATGGATCTATTCACAGGAGCTCATGTGCAAAAACACCACAACAAAATGGTGTTGCAGAAAAAAAGAACAAACACCTCCTTAAGGTAGCACGAGGGACAATGTTACACATGAATGTACCAAAAAGATTTTGGATGGATGCTATATCGCATGCACTTCAAAGTGTTGAACTACATGGCCCCTCATCAGTTATTGTTCCCTCAGTCTCCTTTATTTTCCATTCCCATGAGAATGTTTGGTTGGTGTGCCTTTGTCCATGATTTGTCGCCGTCTTGTGGTAAGTTAAACCCTCGATCTATTTCATGTATCTTCTGGGGTATCCCTCCTCTCAAAAGGGTTACCGGTGCTTTTATTCCATTAGTCATAAGTTTTTTGTCTCTATGGATGTTTCCTTCTTTGAGTCTAAGTCGTTCTTCCCTGCTTCTCCTCAAGGGGAGAGTAGCGTGGAAGAGGAAAAGCATGTCCAGGTCCGTCAAGTCTCTCTTCCTTCTATTCCCGACCCTATTCCCTTTCGTGTCTTCCAACATAAGCGCCATAGAGATCAACAATGTGACAAAGATGTGGAGCCACCAAACATTGAGCAACCGACACCTTCAGACTCCCAAGAGGTAAGTCCAAATGAACAAGGCCCTAGTGCACCTGTTGATACCCCTGCTCCCATTTTGGTTGTGGATGACCTTGATATTCCTATTGCTCAAAGAAAGGGAGTCAAGTCATGCACTACTAAACACCCCATTATCCAATATGTTTCCTATGATCACATTTCCCCTCATACCAAGCCTTCCTATCTGTAGTTGATTGCATCCCCATACCAAGAAATGTTGCAGAGGCCTTAAAATACCCTGAATGGATAGATGCTATGAAGGAGGAGATTAATGCCCTCCATAAAAATCAAACTTGGGAGTTGGTGGATCTTCCAAGGTGGAAATACCCAGTGGGGTGTAAGTGGATGTTTACAGTTAAACACAAGGCGGAGGGGACAGTTGAAAGGTACAAAGCAACACTAGTAGCAAAAGGGTACATTTAAGTCTACGGGGTTGACTATGATGAAACATTTGCTCCAGTAGCTAAGACGAACTCAGTTCGAGTTCTTCTATCATTGGCTGCTAACCTTGACTAGGAATTGCATCAATTGGACATGAAGAATGCCTTTTTAAATGGTGACCTGGAGGAGGAGGTGTACATGGTTCAACCCCTAGGATTCTGTGCCAAGGGAAATGAAAATATGGTGTGCAAGCTGAGAAAGTCTCTTTATGGTCTAAAACAATCTCCTAGGGCTTGGTTCAGTAAGTTTCATATGGCAGTCCAGCAAGTAGGATTCAAGCAATGTCAGTCTGACCACACTCTCTTTGTGAAGAGATGTCAGGAACAGGTTGTTGTGTTGATAGTRTATGYGGATGATATCATCATTACAGGAAATTGGAGCTCAGAAATACAAAAGTTGAAACAGTTCCTAGCATCTCAATTTGAGGTGAAAGATCTAGGTCCATTAAAGTACTTTCTTGGAATTGAAATTGCCCACTCAAAAAGGGGCATCTTCATTTTTTAAAGGAAGTACACCCTTGATCTGTTACAAGGCACATACAAGTTAGGTGCAAAGCCAGTAGATACTCCTATGGATGTCAACCATAAATTGGGTGACTGTGATGGTGAACCTCTGAAAGATGTAAAACAGTTCCAAAGGTTAGTGGGAAACTTGCTTTATTTGTCCATGACCCATCCAAACATTGCTTATTTAGTTGGCGTTCTAAGCCAATTCATGCATTCCCCTAAGAGACCACACATGGAGGCAACAGAGAGGATTCTTAGGTATTTGAAAAAGTATCTAGGAACAGGTATGCTATCTAGTAAACATAATCATTTGAAGGTGGAAGTCTATGCAAGTGTTGTGGATGACAGAAAGTCCACAAGTGGGTACTGCACATTTGTGAGAGGATATCTAGTGACATGGAGAAGCAAAAAACAAAGTGTGGTAGCAAGGCCAAGTGCTGAAGTGGAGTATAGGGCTATGGAACATGGGGTGGCTAAAGTACTTTGGCTAAAAAATCTTCTAGGGGAGCTTGGAGTTACTATTCATAATCTTATGTCTCTTTTCTGTGACAAAAAGGCAGCCATAAGCATTGCTAGCAATTCTATCCTGCACAAGAGGACCAAGCACATTGAAGTGGACAAACAGATCATAAGGGAAAATTTGAAAAATGGAGAAATTTGTACTCCTTATGTCAACTCCAAGGAGCAACTAGCTGATGTCCTCACAAAGGGGCTTCCATACTCGCAGCACAATGAGTTGTGTGACAAGTTGGGCATGATAGGCATATTCAACTCAACTTGAGGGGGAGTGTTGTTAGTGTTATTTTTTAATCTTTGCTGTTAGTGTGTTGTCAACTTGTTTTTTTCTTCTTTTAATTAGTTTATTATTAGGGTGTGCTGCCAGGGTATAAATGTAATCTCCCATTTATTATTATGTTATATCATTATAAATAAGAAGTTGGGCGCCGCCAACAACACTTTTTTGACTCCCAAACTATTTTCCTTCTCTCTTCTTCTCTTATCCTCTCTCTTCTCTCCTCTCCTCTCTCTTTTCTCGCTTTTCTCTCTCTCCAAGAAAGAATATACACATAAAGAAATATCAAGATGGAATAGAAACCTCCAAAGCCAAGTAAACTGAAGCTGAAATCCAAGGAGGGCAGGTATAAGGGGCCTTTAGAAATCATCAAGGGGAAGTTGTGGCTTCGTTCTCAAGACCAATTGGTTACAGAGACCCAATTCAGGCAGAAATTATGGCACTTTTACAAGGCTTGAAACTAGCAGTACAATTAGAAGTTAGAGAATTGGAAGTAGAAGGGGACTCACTCTTGGTCATCTCTTGGGCTAGGCAAATAAAACTTGGCACCCTGGAAATATAGATTTGCATTCAGGGAGATTGATCTTATTGCAAGAAGCTTTAACTCTAAATTTGGTTGGGTAAAAAGGACAGCAAATGGATTAGAAGATATTCTAGCAAAACAGGTAGCTGATAGGTCTACTTTATTTTAGGCGAAGCTGTAGCCTACAGTAGCAAAACAGAAAGCTGATGATCCTTGTAATTTGGAGCAAATTTGTAATCTGATGTACTCTGGACTACAGAGTAGCTAAAACACTTGTAATCTGTTTTCAGTTTAATAAACGAAGTTATTTTACTGATAAAAAAAAAAGTGAGTAGGCCTGAGCTGTATGTCATTTTTTTTCTTTATTTCTTACTGCCACTTAATGAGGGGAAGATTTTTCCTTTCCATTGTAATTGTACTTAAGATATAAATCTCAATAGTAGGGCTGGGAAGAATAGAACTACTGCTGCCCATTCTTCCATTCTTTTCTATCTTGTTCTATTTTTCTTGCTCCACAATCTTCCTGCAGGTCAGATTTGATTTCATAGACCAAGGAGGTCCCTCTTTGCCATATGATGGAGGTCATGTTAGAGGTGATACCTGACCATGATATCATGTGAAGAAGGTTTCAGGTTAAACAATACATGAACCTCTTTGGTTGTACCAGCTCAGGAGACACAAAAGACCCACTTGTAACATGAAAATAAGCTTGTTTGGTCTAATCAGGTTAGTATGCCTCTAAATTCTATCAACAAATTCAGAGAGAGAGAGAGGTACCTGTTAGTAAAATTCCAATAGAGATGATTAGTATGATACCAAGAAGTTGAATGCTTGGAGTCTCCAACCTTCCAAATAAAATTGCAATGTTATAAAATATAAAGCACTCAGCTAAATAAAATTAAATAAAGATCTTAAAGATGATTATGATATTTATTAATATCTTCAATTGGTGGAGACAAAATCATTAGGTTGCATTTGGGAATGCTTTGGGATATGAAATCCTTTATGAAAAAGCACTTCATGGAAAGGCCCATTGAATGGAAAAGCTTAAAGATTTGATAGGTATGTTAGTCATTTAAATATTTCTTAAATGATTATGACAACATTTAGGTAAATATGAAGAATCTTAATGCATGTTTAATATTTTTCTTATCCAAAAAAATGCTTCTACAGAAGCCAAAATCCAGAAGCACCAAATTTGTGGCTTCCACTTATGAAGAAAACAAAGCTTTAGATTATGCAGAAGCATTTCTGTAACTCAAATACCAAGCACCATTAAACACAAAGAGCCTCTCACTAGGAACTAGGAACCCAGAAAAGTGCTTCCACAAAGCAATTCCAAACAAGGCTTTTGCAACTTTCAGACAATAAATTCCACTAAAATGGCCCTTCCAATTAAACACAAGGAATAAACCTCTCACTGAGTACAAGAGTGGAAAGGGCTACTTTGTATAGCACAGTTTATTTTCTTTTCATTTTTTTGATCAGTAATAATTAAAGGTTTTATATCTCTATATAAAGGAATTGTATACATCTACAATGTGCAAAGCACCCCATTTGTAGCTCTATAACTATATGGGTTTCAGGGAGGGGCCTATTTTTGTATTGTTTCTGTATAACTGTAAAGCCCTTTATGTAGACACCATTTTGTAATTATTAATATATTTCTGCTGCCTTTAAAAGAATATCACATATGTACATCTTATAAGTGAGGCATCAAAATAAGAATTAAGATGAGTAAAGAATTCCAATCCTAATGAAGCCATTTGTACCATTACAATTTAAAAGATCCTTTAGGGGTTGTCAGTAACACTTAACTGGCCCTCTTAGTGCTGAGCAAGTTACTTTGGCTCAGCACTAAGAGCTTATGGTAAAACCTTTAGCTATCCTCTTTGTACACTAAGAGGATTTTTTTTTCTATAATTTTTCACCCCAGAAACAAATGTGGAATTCCCCATGCCCCCATTTGGTTTTAATGTTCTTTCATGTATTATAATAAATACTTAAAATATTAAATAAAATTATTTAACTAAAAATAATTATTAACTAAAATATTAAAAAATATATACATACATAATAAATATATTATATAACATAGCATCTAACTTAAATTTTTAAATTAAATAATATAACTTATTAAATTTTGGAAGTATTTAATTTACTTAAGTATTTGATATAAACTTCTTAGATCTCTAAATTAGGCCATTACCCAATGTTGGTCCCAGCTATCTAGGGTCTTGGGAGGGATGGACTGGATATGGTCCTAACATTTGGCATTTTTCCACAAAAGTATTTAATCATTTTTAATTATTCAAACAAATTAATTATTTAAATTGATTAATTATTCAAATGAGTTTAAATTATTTTACTGTTAAACTAAGCACATTATTTACTTAATTATTCAAATAAAGTAATTTTTTAATCATTTTGTAATTATTAACCCTTTTTATTAATTTTTAAATAATTTTATTATAAAATATTTAATTTTTAGTAATTACTCATTTCATTAATTATTTAATCACTTTTAATAGTTTAATCAATTTTATTAATTGTTTAATCATTCTTATTCCATTTGTCCATTTATTAATTATTCAGTCATTTTATTATAGAATTATTATTTTTGATTATTTAAGCAATCTTAATTGTTTAATCACCATTTGACTATTAATTAATATAATAAAGATTACCAAAAATCCATCCTAAGGAATAAACCATCAAATATCCATTTCTATAACTTAGAATATGGGTCTCAACATAAATTCTCTACATTCAGGGCTCAGCAAAAGAACTGTACTCAGAACTCAAAGCTCAATGTTATCAAGCAAGACCTTACTATAAATGGATTTCATCAAGAGTTCGGGTACGATTGATTGTCTACCTATGTTATCCTGCTCTACTTGAATAGAAGGAACATCTTCCAATACAAGGCACCCATGCTCATTTGATAGATCTCATTAAGATTAGAAGTACAAAAACCCATAACCCAATGTTGGTCCCGGTTATCTAGGGTCATGGGACAGATGGACTGGATATAAACCTAATTTTTTAGATCAGAAATATGATTTTTAAATTATGTTTTGATAAACTTTTACAAAGTAATTTTGTGTTTTACAAAGCAAATGTTATTAGAAAAGTACTTGGGTGCGTGGACACCAATGATTTTCAAAGCAAGAACAAAAAAACTGAAAGCACAAAAAAATCCCAAAAGCACAGAGTGAGCTTTCCTACAAAAGTACTATGGGTGATTTGGTGTCAAGTCATCACGTAAGGATCGCATGACACCCTTTTAAGATTAATATAAATAAAAATAAATAATTTAATTATTTCAATAAAACAAAAAACATAAATAAAGAATTATAAAAATAATAAAATATTTAATTAATAGTAAAAATAAAATATTTTATTATTTTTATAATAAAATTAATTAGTTAACTGATAAAATGATTAAATAATTTACAAAGTTAATATATAAAAATAATTAAATAATTAAGAAAACATTAACATTCGTCATATAATAAATAAATAACTAGTTATGAAAATAATAAACTACATAATTAATAGTAAAAATAATCAAGTAACTAATAATATGATTTAATAAATAAGGGAAATTAATTAAAAGAATAACAATTAACAAAATTATTAAATAATGAATATAGTAATCAAATATATATGAAAATTTATTATATAATTAATATAAAATGGAAATAATTAATGAATAACTAAATGTAAAAGTATTTAACCTACTAATAAAATGATTAAATAATGAAAAAAATTAATATAAAAAGCTATTTAATAATTAATAAATCAAGAGTCCAACTATGGTGTATTTACGAATACTTGATGCATGTTAAATCAATATTTTTCAACCAGTCACGTTAAAGACGTCATGTGGTCTACTTATTTTTCATTCATTTACATTTCACAAGGTATACTTTCACGTTTCACAAGGTGTACTTACTATCAAGACTTTAATAATGTTTGTTTTTTGCTTCGTGGTACAGTTTATGAAACATAGGTTTTGCAATGAATTAATTAAATAAAACAATGAAATACTTAAATAACTAAGAAAATATTAAAATGTGTTCTATAATAATGAATAATAAAATATGCTATATGGCAAAACGATAGGTGGAAAATATGATCCACGTGACATTTTGCCACACGGCAGATATGGAGATGCCATGTGGCACATGTGTGCATTTGTATGGATGCAGATGTTCATTGCCATGTCTGTGCCACGTCGAACATACAATATGATAGGTGGTGCATGTATAGTGCTATTGTTGCAATAAATAAATGCTGACACATGAGCTATATGGTGTCACACGGGTACAACATATTGTTATATCTAAATGCCACATTATGCTTTTACATTTGAAGGCAAGTTTTGCCAAAGTTTTTCATATACAAGAACTTATTGAAGGAAATACAATAATACTGGTACATTGCATCAGTTTTTTTTTTTTTTCTATTGCAAGTTGAAGGGGCTAGAAGAGTTGGGGGAAAACCATATAGGACTTGGGTGGAAGTAATAAGAAATGATTTAAGTGCTCATAATTTGACAATGGATATGGCACTGAACAGAAAAGAATGTCAAAACAGGACTCATGTAGCCAAACCCATATAGTTGGAAAAGGCTTAGACAATTTTTTTTAGCAAAAGTAACTGAGAATTTATTCATAAGAGAGATCAGAGATGCATAAGAAGATGTACACCAAGAGCCAGAGAAGGCAGAGACAAAATTACACAGGCAAAGATCTATCATACCAGATTTAGCTCAGAATTTATTCAAAAGGCTTAGATGATGATGACGATTTTTTGCTAGGTAGGATTCAATACCAGGTCTCCACTACAACCAGCAGTAAATGATTTTTTGCTCACTACATTAGTAATGACTTGGATATGTTTAACAAAAAGAGAAAAACTAACTATAAAGCCAGGAAACGTAAAGCAAGCTTATTGGACAAAAATGTAAACTAACAAGAAGCTTACCTGAATGCAAAAGCAAATAAAAGGAGAAATATTGGAGATGCAGATTTACACTGCAAAAGAGAACAGTAATGACAATTGGTAGCTTCTAAAGGATAATAACAACAATAAAATACTGAGCAAAATGGAGTCCCRTTGGCATTTTGCATTAGTAATTGAATATGACAAACTGACAACAAATCATATCATAATATAGAGTGAGGAATAAAAAAACCAACCATAGTAGCAAATGTGACAGAGATGAAAACAAGGGAGACATTGCTGAGGTTTATATCCAATGCAGTTCCAAGGGCCGTTGGTACAACTGTGAAAGGCAAAGTCCATCTGTAGCATTAGTTGTTAGAGAAGTTAATAAAAGAAAAGGTAGCCAGATGTTTCCTGACCAAATGGTTAAAAATCATGGAAAACCAATGGTCAACACTGAACTTAAGGAGCATCAAAATTGAGATCAGAAAAGATGATACATAAAATAGATATAATAAAAAGAAACATTCTATTTCAAACATGGGCAACAACATATCATAGTGTTGACAGTTTGTTATTTTTGGATTTATTCATACCCTGTTTATATTCTTTTTGTTTTTGGAACTTGGCCCATATTGTTTTTATTTAGTTTTTAAAGTGGCTGCCCTATTGGGGGCATATTGGACATTGTACGACTCTTTTCCATTAAGTATAAATAATAAGAGAATGGGGCAGCTAGGAACTTTCGGCTCCCCTTTCTTTCTCCATCATCTCTCTTCTTCTCTCTGCTGTTCTCCCCACTCTAGAACCCCTTTTTATCCAGGTTTCTATTTTTTCTTCTTCCTTTTTTGCTGTTGCAGCTTTCTACTTGGTATCAGAGCCAAGTTAAGGTTTCTTGAAGCAATCTCTATGCAGTCCTAAGATCATCCAACTGCATGGAGATTTGAAAGGGCTGATTGTTTTTGTCCCTTGAAGCCTAATCCTTGGAGTTTTTGGTGTGCATTGCTGCCCAAGCAGATGTCAACCAGCAGGAAAGAGAATAAAGTAAATCAATAAGAAATAGGAAGAAGAAATAGGAAAAACACCAAGATTTAACGTGGTTCAGCTCGATAGCCTACATTTATAGGAAGAGAGGAAAAATATCCGCTATGAGAACAAGAGATACATGGCTGATCTCTTTACAGACTCACAACAAAATATCCACTCTCACTCAACCCTAATCCCACACAACCAATGGCTTCAATAAGCAAAATACCCAACTGTATCAAATTTTCACTTAGGCCCCTCTTCCTCTCATAAGTACATACAAGTCTCCAAAATTCATCAATATTACAAATATACCCTTGTAACCTCCAACACCCTCCCTGAAAGAAAACCTAAATACAACCAAATACAATATATTTCTCTATGCCCTCCCTCAAACTCAAGGTGGGAAAACCAGCTTGAGTTTGCAAGGATGTTGAAACAACCCCCATGAAAATAGGTATAGTGTTGAAGCAGCAACTAAGAAACTTGAGATGTGGAAGAGGCCTCTTAGAAACCAAAGTTGGATGTTAGAAAGCTGACTGAACTCATATCAGAAAGCCAAAGTAGAGACAAGTCATGATCTAGTAATCACTGAACTGAAGCTGGCCAACAGAAAGCAAACACATCATGCCAAAAAATTGAAATTAGCCATCAAAAGGCCAATCACAATCACCAAACTGAAGAACCAACAACGCCAACCAAAAGAAGAACAGAATTGGATCCATTTTAGAACAATGTAGAGAGATTTCTCAAACAAGCTTCTCAAGTGTCATCATTATCCAAGCCTTATCCCAACTATATGGGGCCGACTACATAAATCCTATTTTTCCATTCCATTCCGTTTAATGCTACATCCATTGTTAAATTATTGGCACTTAGATCATTCTTACTACTTCTACCCATGTCTGTTTTGGTCTACTCCTAGCCCTTCTAGCCCCTTCAACTTGCAATAAATTACTTCTTCGTATGGGTTCTGTTGATGGTCTTCTATGCACAACCAAACCATCTAAGTCTACTTTCTCTCATTTTATCACCTATTGGAGGCTTGGAGTTACTCCTAGGTTCCTTTGAATGACTTCATTTCTAATCCTATCCTTTCTAGTTTTTCCACTCATCCATCTTAGCATGTACATTTTTTCCACACTCATTTTTTTGAGCATATCATTTCTTGACTGCCAACACTCTGCTCCATATAGTATAGTTGGCCTTACAACTATTTTATAGAATTTTCCTTTTGATCTAAGTGGTATTCGCCCACCACATAAAACTCCGGATGCGCTCTTCCATTTTACCCATCCTACTCTAATTTATGGAAAACCTCCTCAATCTCTCCCTTGTTATGAACTATCAAACTAAGCTATTAGAAAATGTCACATTAAGTTATCTCTTGGTCTACAACCCTAAGTGCCCCCCGATTTTCACTCCTGTTTTGAAAGATATGGGGCTTCTCACCCCTTTGTCACGTTAACAAAATTTCAACTTTTGTACCAAAAAAATTGAAAATGAACAAAGTTAACAAAGGGAGGAGATAAAGATGATGTGACTACCTCTTATAAAGTAATCCCTCCATGGTATTTTTATACTAGGCTTAAACCTTTGAGCATAACAGCATGTAATGGCCTTTGATAAAACAGCTTGCATTGCAAAATGGACAGTGCTCATCAGCAAGGGTGCTGGAAACTTCCATAATTGATCTCCTAAGAGTATTTTGTTATACCTACTCAAGCAAAGAACAAAGAATCATTTACTAGAAAGGAAAGAAACATAATTGCACTAATAAAATAAATAGGAAACCAAGTATCCCATGAGTAGAGGTGAAAACTTACAGTGTCAAACATGTGCTGAAGGCATACCAAACAAATATGAAAAACAATGCTTTAAGCACAGTAGCCGCAGAAATAGAATTCTGAGTATTTGTTACTGTTTCATGTATTTCTTCTGAAGCAAACCTATCAACATTAATATCTGAAAGGTGTGAAAGGTTATTGGTCCTGTTCTCAATATCAAAAGGTATGTATTTCGTCTCATTTCCAACCTTAACATGAACGGGCACAGTACCCATAGCATTACCCTCATTCAGATGCATACTTCTCTGCCGAAACCTACTTTCTGTCTATCAACATCTAAAAATCCATTTTGAACCTCATCTCCTTGAAGCGAAGGCAATTCACAAGTAGATTCTTGTAAACTTGCATCAGCATTGCCTGAATGATGATCCAAAAGGAAAGGACAATCGCATAGGAGGTTCCCTTAAGAGAACCTGTCCATGGCTTCCACCTTGAATTCCATTAACCCCAGTGTATTCACTATTTTCTGTTCCTAAAGTTCTTTCTACGATCTGCTTCCCGACATCTAAGTTAGAGCCATCTTTACACAGCAGCCACGGCAGTCCCTCTCAAATCATAGAGAAAGTTCTTAACCAATTCAATCAAACTAAAACCAAATGTCTGCCAAACTTTATTGTTTCGTTCACTTAATCAAATGTAAGAAATATTCGTGCTGCACCATAACCAAAATCTCAGAAAGACAGGATTTTGCAGCACAATTCAACAAATCAGAAACCAAAACAATTCAAACCTTCACAAATAAAGCCAAATTCACAGAAATAAGGAAAAGGAAAGAACTCCAAAATTCTTCAATCTCCAATCTTTTCTTTATCTCATCCAAATCGATCCTGAAGAAAAAAAAAAACTGGCATTAGCTTTTTATAATCAAATCATCCAAAAGAAGAAGTTAGAACTCTCCAATTGCAAGCTCGATTAAGATCAACGTCGTAATAACAGCAAATGATCCAAATGTAATGCGTCCAATGTCAGAGAACAGCTCAGAAATGCATTACGGAAATATCTAAAGAATTATCGTTAGGAACGAAAAATGACAAGCAAATTCATGCACGGATGCTCTTCCTTAAGCTTCAAAGAACACGAAAGAATCTCGGACTGACCTGAAATCCGAGAGTATGTTGTGTAGAGATGTCGTCCTTGAAGCTTGTGAGATCTTTTAAAGTATTGATTGATCTCGAAATTTGGACCGGGGCTAAGATGTAAGAAGATCTGATCTGGTTTTGTAGATTCCTCAGGGGAGAGGCTCGGGTGCTGGTTTGTTGGTTTGTCGCAGTGATGGTCTGATATATTGGCCCGGGTTTTCTCGTGTAACTTTCTAAAGAAGTAAAAGGACATTTGTTCTTTTTTTTTTTTACTTTGTTTACCCAATGACATATTGACATAAACGCCCTTGTCCGATTCGTATTTTTTTATTCTGCCTTTCGTCTTCTTTTAGAAACCAGAGAGTTTTTTTTTAGAAACAAAAAGCACTTTGTTTAAGGAAAAAAAAGGCATAATTGTATGGTATTCATCTAAGGTTAACAATTTTTTACAGCTTAAAGGCTAATGCTTGGTTTTTTTTTTGGGACTCATGTAAATAAGATAATGACCATTTTAACTATAAAAATTTATTATTAAAATAGGCATTTTTGTCTCATTCAAATATTGGTAACTTTTTCCTAGGTGGGAAAATTATTTACCCACCTAGGAGATGGATATATACCCGGGAAAATATGCTTTCACTGATCTCCACATAAATCTAAAAAAAAAAAAATTTCCCCCTTCTCAAAATCCAAAAAAAAAGATCACCCCCTAAGTGTAAATTTTGGTTTACTTTTGATTCATATTTGACTTTGTATTATTTGTTTGTAAGAAATAATCCTCTACTTTAAATGAAAGGGAATGGAGATAAGAAGAGGGTTATATGTCTAGGAATAAGATAGGATGATGTGATCCCTACTTTATACGAGAAATAGTTTAGGTAGGAGGAAGGTAGTGCAAATTTTGCATCAGTTTTTGGCATACAAAATTTACACCATCATTAAATGCAAAAGAAACAAAAAAGAAAAGATAAATTTTGTATCCAGTAGAAATGCAAATCATAATTACAAATAAACAAAAGTAAAATTGATTCAGGTATAAATTTTGCTCTTAATTAAGACTTGCACTGCAACCAAACACAGCCTTAGCAAAATGATCTAGGGCTGCAAATGGTATTTGATTGTCCAAGTTTGAATTCGATCCCATTAACAGTGATTGGATCAAATATGGATCCACCCCTATCTGGATATCGGATCTAGTATAATCCAATTTGATTCGATTTAAAATATATGCTTATATATATTTTAAATTTATAAAAACATGCTTCAAACTTAGATTGTATGATTGTATCTATTGGTAAAGCTGATTTCAATGTTGTGTTTTTACTTAAATTTTCTTGGGTTCAAGTTTCATAAAAATATTTTTCAATTAATTTTGTTCATAAAATATAATGTGAGTAATTTTTAGTTCATTTTATTATTAATATATAATATTTTGATCATTTTTAGCTTAATTTATTTATATTATTCAATATCTGAATTTTATTGAATTCAACATAAATCCAATGGATAAGATCCAAATTGAATTTGACATAAATGAAATTTGGATCCATGATATACCAATATCCGATCCAATTGGATCCAGTTCCCTCCTCCACGCTTAGTGGGGAGCTATTTATATTTAATATATATTATAATTAAAAACCAATTTTTGGCACATATTTTTCAAACAGTTTCTATTATTATATCTTTTAATTAGTTTCTATCAACAAGTTAGGTTCAGTATGGATCGGGATCAACCAAAACCCGATAGATGAAATGGCAAAATGGGATAGTGAAGCCGGAGTGAGTGTATATATATATATATATATATATATATATATATATATATATATATTTATATATCGTATAACTTCATTTTGAATATCATATTTCTAGTAAGTAATGATAGGTTCAAGTTTAATACAAGTTATTTTTAATATAAAATATCAAATGCATTTTTAATGTATTTTAATATTTTATACCCAATGAAATTCTAATGTAAGATCTTAATAATTGAATCAAATTTGGATAGAGTTGGATTCGATCTAAGTTGTATCCAATAGACATGTCCAACTTTGTCTTGGGATATTTTTACAAGTTCCACCATATATGTAGGGCAAAGCATATAAGAGCTGCATATACGGATTGCCCACAAAAAGCATTCCTCTTCTTATAATGGATAAATTTATCCTTCACTTTACATGATTCAATCATATTTTAGAATTCATACAATGCTTTTGGATCTCGATTTGCTTTTGTGATTCTGTGTTTATGCCTACTTGATTGTGTGATTAGCATTCCTAATGCATCCATTTGAATAAACATCTAAAAGCACAGTAGTATATAGTGTTGCGCCCCAACTTTTTTTTGAGTAATAAAAAAAGGTATTAATATTAATAGTAAAGACTTAGAAATATCCGTAGATATGTTACGCATGTTTTTACAAATGTTTTTTTTTTTTTTTTTTTGAAGCTTGAATTTAGCAGAGTTATTTTAATTAGTTTTGGGGGTTAAGAAGACTTTTAGGTTATGTTTGGTTTGAAAGAAAAGGTAAGAAAAAAAAAAGGAAAGGTAGGGAAACAAGAAATAAAAAGATTTGATGCTTAATGAGAATTATCTGAAATGGTAATCTGGTTATGTTATTATAGCAGTATTAGGGTTTGATGCTTGATGAGATGTAATTTGCCCTCGGGCTTCAAGAAATAAAAGGATCAGGCAAGATCTATCTCCCTTTTCGCCTACTTATAATTAACACTTCTAAGACAAAACTGGGAAGGTTCTGTTTGTTTGGAGCACAAATCTAAACTGATGCAAATTTTATACACTTCATGATTGCACATACATAACTATCATTTGCATTTTTTCTTGATGTAAAATTTATACTTTTTATTTCATTCTCCCTCATTGATTGTGGACATTTTGCATCAGTTTCTTCCTATGTAGCAGAGACCCAGGATCGAGTTATTTCACCAAAGTTGGGCGATGGCCTTTTCCTTTTAATACCAACTTAAATCTCATTTTAAATAGGGATGCAATTTTGGTTGGATTGGGTTGAAATTTTATTAAATTCTCAATGGGCCGGTCTGAACCCTAACCCGAGCCCCGTGTTTCAGGTATACCAACTTTTAAATGGTTCGACCGTTCAATATTGTCTTAAAATTTTTCACCTCATGTGAGGGGCACCTTATTAAATCACGACCTTTGACAATATAGATCGATCTCTCACTAACATTTGATCTAGTAGATGGGCATTGTATAAACAAGATTGACATGTTCACAACTCAATAATGCGAATTGGGAAGAAATATGTTTACCATTGGATTGATGTGAAGGCATAACCAAACTAATAAACCATCAATACAAAGAATGAGTAGGTATAAACTAGGCTTTGAAATGAAGTTACAGAGAAGCAAAGCCCCACCTTGTTTATTCCTTAAAATCAAACAGAAGAGAAACCTGAAATGATATTAAGAGTTTAACTGTGATGCATTTATTAATATTAACTACGTTAAATTCAGACCTAAACCAATTACATAAAATCCAATTCCTTTATCATTAATTCACTATATAATTCTACCATTAATAAGATTAATTACTATCACCTTCGACCAATCATTTTTTACTGCAAGTACAGATGCACCGTAGGTTTTGCCTGATATCAATTGGCTTTATCTTTCACCAGCCGGAGGTTGTCAACCGAGCGACAGTTGAGGAAAGCTGTCTATGACCCTACATCCATTTTCAGTTGGTGGATGTATTCTTTGTTATTAAGTTGGTCTGTTGTTGTTTGAAAATGCTTTGTTGTTACGTTATCACCAAAACCAACTTAGTCGATCAATTGTTTAATTATGGGAAAGTGCAATCATGTTGGATGAAATTGTTTGATTGATGAATTTTGGGGTCCCATCATCATTAAATGCAAAACCTCTCCATTTGATTGATCAAAAAGACTGAGATGGACCCAACCTAACGTATCCCATGAATAAGCAGCAGCCTGTTCTTCAAACATTGTTCTCTTCTTAACCAATCTCTTTAAACAAGTTAGTCAAGGGATAAGATTAGAATTCGACCCGATTGAGGGTGATCAAAGTTTGATCCAGTTAATAAATGGATCTATCCCTATCCAGTCACAGTTAAATTAGATTTCAAAATATATGCTTACATAAGAAAAATATACTTAATATATATATGTATATATTGTATAACATTAGTTTGAGTGTTATATTTTTACTAGCTATAGCTTCAAGTTTATTTTTAATTTATTTTGTTGATGATATACAGCATTAAAGTCATTTTTAAATCTTTTTATTAATAATATAAATAATTTGACCTTTTAGTTTAATTTATTAATGCTGTTTTAATATCCACATGCAAATTGAATTCAATTCAAATTCGATATAATTCTCCCTTAAACTAAGTAAATGTTTGGTTATTTGGTCTTTTCTCAATAAGAACATACCACGTCAGCACCATGTAGGCATTTTTTATTTCATCTAAACCTTTTTTTGTATGATTGAACTGTTTCAAAGTAACTTTCTTGCTTTGTCATGTGAAATCAACTTTTAGATAAAATACTAAAATAACATTTTTTGACGTGGAGAAATATTTTCACCTTTTTTATTCTAGGTGACACCTAACTATCTTAAATAATAATAATAATAATAATAATAATAAATGTGCATTAGGATATGTGCACATATAGTACCTACTTTATGGTTTCTATAGTATAAGCATTGCTTTAGAATATAGCCATGATACCAAACATCTATCTATATTATATATAAAAGTGTGAATGCAATGTGAAATATTTTTTGGATTAAAATTACCTTCTACTTCTTTGTTTGAAATAATGTACAAAAGTCATTTTATTATAGTTTCAATGCCAACTTTAATGGCTACTAAAAGGCCCATAATTGTGTATTTAGTCTATCTCTAATGGTAAGGGTTAAAAAAATGTAAGTTCAATTATCACTTCTCACCTCACTTAATCCCCTCACATTAAGTTTTATACTTAAATTATTAATTCTCATTTTCTCTTATTAAATTAGATTTGTGTCAATATTTTTAACAATATAAACCCATATATTTTAAAACTGACTCAAAAACAAAACCATTTTTAATCCAAGTGGTGGCTAAGCAATTCAACCATCCGAATCAAATTGATCAACCTACAAAGTCTTAGTTAAGTAATAAAATTTTTAAAATAGTAACAAA